AATATCAAACTTCTCTTGTCTCCTTCATCATTTATTTTTTGATTATTTTTCTCATCATTTTATCTGTTATTTCAATTATTTTAATTCATTTTTCTTTTTTAAATTCGTTTTTTTCTTTCTCTCTCTCTCTCTCTCTTTTATATTTCGATTTTTTTATTCCACCTATTTTTTCGATCGCCATTTCTAATTCGTTTTTTTTTTTTTATTTTCTGACTTTTTATTTCACGTCAATTTCTCAATCGGCATTTATTTTATTTTTTATTTTTTTTATTTCTCGATCCCGTTAATTTCATTTTTTTCTTTTCTTTTTTTTTATTTCTCGATCTCGTTTATTTCGTTTTTTTCTTTTTTTTATTTCTCGATCTCGTTTATTTTATTCTTTTCTTTTTTTTTATTTCTCGATCCCATTAATTTCATTTTTTTCTTTTTTTTTTTTTATTTCTCGATCTCGTTTATTTCGTTTTTTTCTTTTTTTTATTTCTCAATCTCGTTTATTTTATTCTTTTTTTTTTTTTATTTCTCGATCCCGTTAATTTCATTTTTTTCATTTTTTTTTTATTTCTCGATCTCGTTTATTTCGTTTTTTTATTTTTTTTATTTCTCGATCTTGTTTATTTCGTTCTTTTCTTTTTTTTTTCTCGATCCCATTAATTTCGTTTTTTTTTTTTTTTTTATTTCTCGATCTCATTTATTTCGTTTTTTTATTTTTTTTTATTTTTCGATCCCCGTTTATTTCAGTTTTTTATTTTTTTTTATTTCTATCGTTATGGTTTTGGTTGCTCCTGTTGTTGCTTCATTCAAATGGACCATTGAAGCTACAAGAGAATTAATTTGACTTTGACGCGAAAATCATGATGATTTTGAGTTCGTTCCTAATAATCGCCATGAAAGGATATGAAGAACCATATCCAACTAATTGTTTCTTAATAGAAGGTTCGCAGCTTCTTCCTCTCAATGTCGTAGGAAATGGTACTCATTAAAATATGGGTACGAAAATCTCAAGAGGTTGGAAGCTGGAGAAAATCCCCACGACCAACTAATAACAAACCCAACTCTGTATGATCGGATATTTCATGCAGACTTGGATGACGAATTTTAGCTTCGAACTGGTAATTATTTATTGAATAATAGTAATAAGAAATATATTTTTTACTTTTTAAAACTTCAATTTTTTA